AAATTTAAAATGTTTATGGTTTTTGACAATCTTGTTATAGTTATAGCTCTAAGTGGGTTGCTTTGTCAGCTAAAGGCATGTTTTAGAGTCTCTAAACTCCAGTTATCAATTAACCGATTACAGTTCTGGTTGAACTGTAAAGTGCCTTGAGATGACATGTGTTGTGAATTTGGCGCTATATAAATAAACTGAATTGAATTGAATTAAATTAGTTGACGATTATTTCAATAATTGATTAATCCGATTAATTGTTTAGGTCCTACATTATTTTATAAACTTCTGAAGTTCATTCCCAAATAAAGTTTATGCAGACCACAGTCATAATTCATTTAATGCTCTGGTTTTCTATAAATTGCATTACTACAATGCCTGAAATTCAGCTCATTTTTTCATTAGTAACATAATTCTGAACCAATAAAGAAATAAAATAATTCTGACTCAGCTAACACTCTTGTTCTTAAAAGTATGTATAAATATATAAATACATAAATGAATGCTCTCTAACTTATTGATCTATAGCTTTAATTGCTTTCTTTAGTCTGCCACTTCAGCTAAAAGAAATTTAGAAATGTAAAAGTTTGAAACATAACTTCCAAGGCAATAAAGTTAGTATGTCTGGGAGATGTTGTAAAGTGAATTATGTGGTAGTGCTTTTAGGAATTGGTTCTGATTGACAGGACTTATAATTATGCAAGCTGCAGGGTTAGGAATTGATCAAAGCATGTTAACTTCTGTCTCCCCTTGTTGTTGGAATTTAACACATATTTGCTCTTTCTGCTCAAAGTCAGACCAGACCTTCTGAATTAGTGGGTTTGATTGTCAGAATGCCTGTCCAAACTGCAATCCTGCCAGGCTATTTCATTTTAAATCACCGTCATCATCAGAGAGAGCATTAAAAATCGTAGCACTTTGATCATCTCATTATGTCTTCCTAAATTATTCATTTCCGACCAAAGCTGATAAATATGCAAACGTATCAGTGTTCCTGTTTTAATTCACAGGTTTTCAGTGTTCAACCTCTGGTTAGTTTTGGCCTGCAGCTTGACAGAGTATCCAGAATATAACAGCTGTAGAATCTCATTAAAGAAAAAGAAAAAAACAAGGCCATTAATGAGTTGAGCTAATCTGCTTCTTACAGACGCAAACGATACAGAAGCTCTTTTCATCTGTCTTTTTGAGGCCACATTCATTCTTTGAGATCATCTAAATCAGATAATATAGGCAAAATGTCATGAAAAAGTATTGCTATATTGATGCAGTGTATAAGGTGGACAGAAAATGATGTATCCTCTGCAAAGTTAGTGACAAAAAATACATCAGAAGGTGCAGCATGGTGTAGCATGGTGTTTTATTTGGGATGTGATACTTTTTAAAACCATGTTTGGCTGAAAGTACAGCTGAATGATGAGGTTCTGTTAAAATATCTTATTTAAGTCTTGACATGTAGTTTTAATTAGATTTGTATTCTAGGGTTATGCTACGTTATTCTACTATACAAATATGTTCCAAATATGGCTTGTGGCAAACTGGATTTTCTACTGGGCTTTTTTCAATGATGTCTGTCTTCCTTCCACTATTTCTTAAAGATCGAATTTGTGAAGTACTATACTAAGAATTTTCCCATTGACTAGTTCTCCCACAAGGTCAATGGGACATCATCTCTAAGTAATGTTGCAGTTATACTACAGTATGCTCCCCCTATACAATGCTATCTATAATCAAAATTTTGTTTTTAACTTCTCCACAACTTTATCCCTGTGTGTGTGTTACTTGCAGAGGTAGGTATAACTTGTTACATTTACTCAGATACATTAACTTCAGTAACTAAAAAAAAAAAAAATACTATTAGGAGTTTAACAGCTTTGTACTTTTTACTGTTAGTTGAGTAGAATTATGATAAATGATCACTACTCTTACTTGAATAACATTTCTGGCTACTCCATCCATTGTGAGTAACTTAACTTAATGAAAGCAAGCTTGTTTAAAATAAAACTGAAGGACACACTTTATTATTTTTTCTTCTCAAGGCTAGTTTAATAAAGATTTTTTCATGTGCTGAGTCAGCCATCTCATTTTGGGTTTGAGTGAAATTATACTAAACAGTATACCTATTCTAACAGAATGCATCTATTGATTTTATAAGTTTTATAACAAAAAAAAAATAAATATATAAATTCTGTTGTTTACCAAATTAGTATTCCACCCTCAATTGAGTAAAAATATGCTAAACTACAGTAGTAGGCATTCAAAATTTCCCCGCTTTCTTTGATGGGTCCTTGGCTGGTTCCCTACAATTCCTTTTTAATTATCAATCTTTGTGCTAATATATTCTTTCTGTCATGATTTGTGGACATTAATTAATGTCTAAAGAGAAACGTAATCTCCTGGTCAGACCCTGTATTTCAGGGAAAGGGGGGAGTTTGGGTGAAGAGATATGCAAGAGGGGGTCACTCCAGTGGCTGGAAGTTGGAGGGGATATTGCTGCAGTTGCAGGGAAGTGGGGCTGCCATTCAGCTGGGAAGGGCCATTTTGAATAGCTGCTACTGCAGTTTTACTTTTACCATATATAAGACTATAGAGCACTCCTTACTAAAAGCCACACCCATAAAGTGAAAAACAAAAAACAAAATGTAAATGTACATATATGAGCTTGATATCTACTGAACTGTCTTACATCAAACCTATAGGGGGAGCTCTACATATAGTCTCTGTAGTAGGGATAAAGAAGAAATGTGAAAGTGTGAATTCAGGAAGTTTGTTCTCAATCATATCTGCTGATAGAAAGTTCTTGTGCCAAATGAAAATCAGCCCATTCTTTGTTTTCCTACTTTGACTTCTGCCCCCCGGTGGTTAGGAATAATCCACAATAAGCCACACCTTCTTAATGCGCCCTTAGTCCGTGGTGTGGAGCTGGAAATGCAAATGTCTGGAAGTGATCCCTGAACTGGCTTTTTACTTTCTGGACCTGGATAATCACCACTGCTACTCTCAAACCCATGCATGACCAACGTTGGTCCTCGAGGGTCTCTGCAGGTTTTATAGGTTTCCCTGCTTTAGCACAGCTGATTCTGACAATTTTAGTTCAGCAAAAGCCTGCTAATTAGCAATCAATGGAAATCTGCTGTGCAAGAGCTTGAAAAATCTCTAAAACCCTGCAGGAGAACAGCCCTCGAGGATCGACTTTAAGCATGCCTGTTCTAACCACTCATTCACAAAGACTACAGAATCTGTGCGTTTTTCGTTCTGTCACTAATAGAAGCCATTCTAATCAGGCAGTTATTCCCACCTGCTCTGTGGCCGCAAGGCAAAATGGATAGCCCCCAACCCACACCACACCCAGTCCATTTTGGAATGGTATGGGAACTAAATGAGTAAAGGTCTAAAAAAGCAGAGGAGACGAAAAAGGAAGTCAGTCAAAGTGAACCAGATATTGGGTAAATTTCATATAAGAAGTCATAACACACACATCAAGTGTGGATTGCTGAACAGCATATTTTACTCGTTAGTGTAAAACCTTATGCTACGTTCACAGCAGATGAGATTTGGGCAGCAAAAAAGCTCCTGCTGCTTCATTTTTGAAGCTTGTACACATGAAGGTCAGACGCGCATCAAGAGTATCCTTGATGCTTGAAGCGGATCCAGTAAAGCAAGATGTGTCTGATGCTTCTGCTGCTCCTGTGTTCAACGACAGAGAGCAGCTTTGCTATATTTGCTGTGATAAGCTGGTAAAAAGTAGTTTTAAAATATTTTTAAGTCAACCTCTAAACATCGTCCATGCAGTCAGTTCAGCAAGATTACGAACCTGCCTTAAAATACAATTTAGCTGTTGGAGCCGCACAGATCCTAACATATCGGCGCGTTCACTGGGAATCCCTAGCAGTAGCTGGGGGGTTTCCCCTTCATCACGGCCGGAAGTAGATGTTAGCATTTTTCAGGTACATGGTACAAACTGCAGGCACCAGAATAATAAAAGCGAATATACTTTGTCAGCAGGTTTCAAGGTTTTAAGTTAATTTAGACATTGATAAGCGGTTTCAGGGGAGTGATCATAGCGATCTGCATCGGCAGTGCAATGTCTGCCTTCCCCTTATCAGCTACCAGATCAGCTTCTCTGATTGGTTGCGCCTCAGATACTCAGAAGCTAATAAGGCATGGCTTAAGCTGCTCAGATTAATCAAGATGCGCTGCTCCTGCTGATCTAGATGCGCTGCTCCTGCTGATCTTGATACGCTGCAGGGCCTTTTCATGCACCCCAACCATTGACTTTGTATATAAATCAGCTGCATCTGCTGTTTCAATTGCGTGCGGAGTGAACGTAGCGTAAGGCTTTCACAGAGCAGTTGCATTTAGACTGAAACTTAATAATACTCAGACGGACAATTTTTTTTTCCAATTAGGTGACTTCCGAATAAATAAGAAAGCGTACAAAAAAAAAAAAAACACCCAATTTTCCAATATTCATGTCAAGGAAAATGTAGCTGAAAACCATTTATTCCTTCAATTTCATTCACAATTATTTCATACTTTTGTTAGTCTATCATGTATAATCCCATAGAAGTATGCTTTGCTTCAATATTGTTAAGACAAAAATAAGACAGTTTAAGTTGTGCGTAATATTTTTAAATTGGACTGTATATGAAGCAGGTGTTAAATGCTGATTTGGTGATTTTATTCCTAGATCACAGCAAAATGTTTCTTTTCTTTTTTTCAGTGACTTAAATCCCAACTAAAATGAAATGAATGATCAAAAGCATCAAATCAGCAAACAGAGAAATGGTTACTTCAGCTCTTCCTTGTACTATAGCTCTGCTCCAAATGAGTTTGTCAATTCCCAAGCTGATATAAGAAATAAAACAGAAGAAACTTGCATACAATATTAAGATTATGAGTCTTAATTGATATAAATCCATGAGTATTTTGAGTGACTGTGTAAAAAAATGAATATGTTTTTCTTCTAATAAAGACAATCTATAAAATAGTTGTGCACTCTATCAAAAAACTTTTTTTCTTTTATATTTTATTGATGGATTTCAGTAAAAACATTTGGAAGCCATGTGTCTCCAAAGTGGTTGTATTTGACAGCAGACTACAGGTGAAAGGACTGTCTTATTTTATTTTATTTTTTTTACTTTCCTTTTTTTTTTTTTTAGCTCTTTTATCTACTTTGGTCAGCCCAAGATATTTCCATGGCCACTGGGTGGCACTGTGAGTCCACCAAACCTGGAGGTGATTGTACATTCCTTCATCTCTGTCCTCCCAGGGAAACTTTCACTGCAGTCTTAGGAAAGTCTTCTTTGCAGAAATCTTCCTTTTCAGTCAGCTAAACAGTGTGAAAAGGTTCAGTCAGTCAAGCTTGACTGTTTCAGACAAGTGTTTGGTTGAGTTTGCTCTTGGTCGAGCTCGGACTGCATTTTCTCTCTCAGTGAGGGCTTGAAGTCGTGGTTTGACTCCAGAGGGATTGCGTATGATGCCTGGCTCTGTAACCTGCATCAGTGGGACTCCACAAGAGGCTGCTTGACTTCACACCAGGTGACCAGGAGTCACTACTTCAGTTTCTCCCTGCCTTAGGCATAAACTGCAACACATGGTTTGGTTGATGAGCACATCAACATCCAGGTTGAAACCTGAGGGTGGGTTTATGGTATGAACCTAACAATTTGACAAAGCTGACAGCGAACATATTTGGAATGTCGGTTTTTCTTCAACACATTTCCACCCTCTTCTTTCTGGATACAAGTAGTGCACCAGAGTGCCTGCCTTAGCAATAGTTCTCAGGTGAAAAGGCTCAGCTGTGTTCAAACGAAGACAGAACAAGAGTGAGCATGCAGTCACACACTGCTCGTGTGTTCTCTGGGGGGAGGGTAGCTGATGAGCGACAGCTCCTGCTCCATCTCCGTTTCTGGCTCTGTCTCCGAAAGCATCCCGGCGTTGTGGCATTCAGACAGGCTCTGTGACACTAATCCGATTTGCGTCCCATCATCTGTTGTGTCCTCCGGGTCCACCGTCAGCCTCCCATTATCTCCCCTGCTGCCGTTACGACAGTTACTGTTGCGGTCCACCCCCGCTTTATCGTGGCTGCTTGGCAGCAGAGGGGTAACGGCATGCGACGGGCACTGCTGGGATGCGAGGAGGGTTTTACTGCCTTGTCCTGCTGCATTGGCCCCAACATTGTACTGGCATCTTATATAGTTGGAGAAAGCCCTCCTGTAGGTCTTATTAAAGAGCGTGTAGACCAGGGGGTTGACCCCGGAGGAGATGTAACCCACCCAGACGAAAACATTTAGCAGATCATGAAGCAGAGACTCATTGCAAGAGCCACTGCACAGGACAAAGGTGACGTTGGTGATGAAGAATGGACACCACATGACAAGGAAGAGGAAGAAGACAATTCCCAAGACCTAAAAAAAAAGAGAAGTTATTGTGAAGGCAAGGCAAGTTTATTTGTATAGCACAGTACAAAGACGATTCCAATTGCTTAACAGTATATGAATTAAACAATAAAACAGGAAAAAATTAAAATAGAATAAAATAAAGATAAAAACTGGAAAAATCAGGCAGTAAGACAAATAAAACAGTTGGTCCGCAACTAAAAATACCTCAGTTAAAAGTTTAACTTCAACATCCAAAGGCAGCTCTAAACAAAAGGGCTTTTAACTTTGACTTAAAAGAACTAAGGCTTCCAGCACTTTTACAGTCTTCTAGCGTTTTTTTCCAGATCAGTGGAGCATAGAAACTAAATGCTGCTTCTCCCAATTCTGCGTGTATTTGTGTGGATTTTTTAGGCAAACATATGAAGACACTGTAGCAGTAATCAGTTCTACTAAAGATAAATGCATGAATGACCTTTTCTACATTCTGCTTGGAAATTTGCCTTTTAATCCGAGAGATGTTCTTCAAGTGATTAAAGTCTGACTTAGTAACTGCCTTTAAGTGCCTCTGAAGGTTCAGGTCTGAGTCCATCATGTAAATGTAAATCCTTTTATTGCCCCACAAAGGGAGGATTCAATCTCTGCATATTGACCCATCCTCTTGGGGAGTACTGGGCTGCCTTTGTGTGGCACCCTGGGAGCCGTGTGGAGTTACCCCTTGCTCACACTGGCTCCGCTGGGGTTAAGGGTTTTGCTCAGGAACCCAGAGTGCAGGCTGTGGAGATCAAACCGCGTACTTGCAACCTTTTTCATAGCACAAGCGCACTGCTCTAACCCACTAGGCCAACACTCCCCATCATAGCACCAAGATTTCAGCCATAATCAAACCCTTGTTTGGTCAGAAAATTATTACCTTGCTTTGTTTTTAATTCAGTTGGAGAAAATTATGGCCCATCCACGTATTGATCTGTTCTGAGCATTTAGCCAATGCTCTGATGGGTTCATAGTCACCTGGTGACTTTGTGATGTACAGTAAAGCAGTAAGACAAAGAAGTGGCAATAAAAAACTATTAGAATATAAATTTTAAAATTTGCCATATGCTCTTCAAGGTAAGGGATCCCCACACCCAGTGATTTATCAGACATATGCCCATTGTTGGCTCTTTCTGCAGTAGACAGGGAATAGCAGCGTGGGACACAAGCTGTTATGCTGTGGGTAATTTCACCTCTCTCTATTTGAGCTTGGATTAACTATTCAGCTTGGTTTGATGGGACCACATGGCCCAGTATTTTCTCCCTATCTGCATTGGTAAACCTTGGCCCATGACTCTGTCATTAGCTCACCACACTTGATTCCTTGCTCCACTTTTGATAGATACTATTGCAAACTAGGAGCACCATACATGCACGGCACCTTTTCTGATTCTCCAATCCAATCTTCTCTTCTTCATAAAATCGTCTTTGACAAAGTCACTCAGTTTCTCACCCTTTTTTTCTGCTTGAAAGAAATACATTTTGAGGATTTAATATTGACCTGCCATGATGAACAGATGCTGAGTTTATTCCCTCGTCCTGATGGTGGTCATAATATTATGCCTCTTTGGTGTCGGTGTATAAACCTTTCTTTTGTCATTAAAGAGGTACTTGAATTCAGTCCAGCTGCTCTCTGTGATTCTGGCAGCAGTCCAAGCTTTCTGACGTAACTCAAAGTGCCTGGCTGGATTTGATAGCATGTGACATGAAATGCTCTCCGTATTCTGGAGGAAAACTTTTAAATTCCCTGTTAGGAAACGTCAATGTCAGAAAAATTCACCTATCCTGGTTTCACAGAGAGGCAAATATATTCAGTAGCAGTGACAGCTCCAACATACTAAAAGACTTGTGACTGAAGAACCTGAGGGTTTTATTTTAAATTGATTTTTTGGGGGGGCTTGTCACAAGACAGCAGATATTTTCACATTGAAGGCAAAAAAATGTTCAGTCGTAATGCTTTTTGGTGTTAATAAGTTTAACACTTAAGAAAAAAACACCACAACCATGTCTTTAGAATGATCGTGCTGTTTGGTTAGGTGTAAGTTTTAAGAGTTGTTATATACCCCCCCCCCCCCCCCCCCCCCAAAACAGATACAAGACAATTTACCAGGAATATGTTTGGTGCATATCAACTGTGAATACACTGCAAAAACTTTGAAGAAATAAGTTTCAAATTTCTTAAATTAAGTGTATTAACCCTTAATTTGAGGAGGTAAATAAGATTATTTGCCAATGGAATTAGTATTTTTACTCTCAAAATAAGATAGATATAATATTATTGAAGTTTATTGATCTCACGTTGCAGAAATTCACTCTATAAATCTTAACCCATCCACTTGGGGAGCAATGGGTTGCTACTGTGTAGCGCTCGGGGAACAATCGGGGGTTAAGGTCTTGCTCAGAGACCCAGAGTGGCAGTCTGTGGGGCCCAAACCAAGAACCTCATCATTCCAACCACTCGGGCAATATGTAGTTGAAATAAGACAATGCAATTGTTTTTTTGTTTTTTTTAAATGTAGATTATCTTATTTCATTGGCAAAGTATCTCTCTTACCTCCTCAATTCTAGCAAACACTTTAAGAAAAAAGGACATATTTAGATTAATTATTATTATTATTTACATGTAGCGACTCACTACACCCCATTTTGAAAACAAGACCTTCTAGTGGTTGTATTCTTTGAGATGCCTTGAAAACTACTTTGACGGATTAAGCTGAACATAAGGAAGAGATAAATGTGGGTAAATTCATCACTTGTGGTCTTTACTAGGGGTGTAAATTTCCAGTCTTTACGGGATGATGCCCTGCAGTAAAATTGGGTCATTATCAGGACTCTGGAGAATATTAGCTATTCAATTTAGGATAATAAGTCCAGAGACACAGCTGTCAGTTACAAGTTACAAGATATTAGAGTATATAGGATGCTTTACCTGGAAATTTGAAATTTTATGTTAAAATGTGTGTGTTAGTGTTGTGCTACAGTTAAAACCTTACATTAGCCTGTCTTGCTTTTTCATCTATATTCTACCAAAAAGGGTTTATTTCAAAAATAAACCCTAAAATAAAAGTGTTGCTGTTTGTGTAACTTCCTACCTATTATTTAAGGGACCAGGAAAAAATTGTGAATTACAAGGAAAAAAAGGGGTAGGGAAAAGAGACTGAACAAACTTTATATATTTTTTTTCTCTTTAAATTTAATAAATGTGAATTTAAAGGTAAATATAAAATTATTATGTATGTACAATATCACATTATGACTCATTTAAGAACTCCACTTTTCAGTTGGTAAATTACCAATAGATCCATACTCTCCCTTTAGCGATCCTGTTGAAATATTTTAAAATCAAGCATTACAAATTATTTTCACAGAGATAATAATAATAATGATTATACACAGAACAAAAAACAATGGTAAATGGCATGTACTTATATAGCGCCTTTATTCAAGTTAGGAGACTTGACCAAAGCGCTTTACACCAAATTCATTCACCCATTCACACACACACACTGATGGTGGCAAGCTACATTGTAGCCACAGCTGCCCTGGGGCTCACTGACAGAAGCGGGGCTGCCGTACACTGGCGCCACCGGGCCCTCTGACCACCATCAGTAGACAATGCTGGTGAAGTGTCTTGCCCAAGGACACAACAACACTGAAAGTCGGAGTCGGGGCTTGAACCGTCAACCCTTCGATTTCAGGGCAAACTCCTACATCCAACGCCACTGTCGCCCTATAATAATAAGAATACACTGCAAGAATCGCAAAAAGTCTACAGACATTAACGTTTCTCTTATTTTTTTTACTTCTTGTTGTATTGCTAACACCTGATTACACAAAAACTCCCATGGGAAGATCACATTTTTTCTGTTTCTTTCCTCTGCTCTTATATTGAAAAAATACTGCTAAGAATTCCACCTATAAAGACAGTTGCTTGTTTTGAGTCAATATTAAGGGATAAAGACCCAACACAACTAAAATCCTAAGCAAAACTGATGTCACAACTCCCACTGACTTCCATGATTTTTGAAGGATATAAAATGTTATGTTTACAAGTCGAGATTCTCTAAATAGCTACTACTAGTTTGTGTTTACAACATGGACCAGCAGAGCACACCAGTGTTTACTGGGCAGCCAGTCATCTGGCTACAGTTTTCCTACTCACCTTTGAGGCCCGCCTCTCATTTTTTATAGCTTGCATCATCCCTCGTCTCCCATGGCAACCTGATGCATCACTTCGGCCTGGCCCGGCTGCTGGAGAGCTGAGCTGCGATGCGGCCTCGGAGCTAGGAATGATGCTGAGGCTATCTGAGGTGGAGGCGCTGAGCAGGATGCTGGGCTCTGGGCTTTTCAGGCAGCTCAGGGTGTTTCGTCTGCTTTGGAGCGCCGGGGGCTTTAGATCTTTCCAAGGAAAAGAAAAGAGATACGACACACAGATTCATGATGTAAGAGTGAGGGAGTAAACATAAAAAAAATGTAAAAAAACAGGTATTTAGTGTTACAAAAATTATTTTATGGCAAAAACTTGGTATTAATTTTGATTTTAAACTTAAACCAAAAAAAAACAACAACAAAAAAAACAGATGTAGCTACCAAAAAAACAACAACAGAGTGTCTAACAACCATTGTTAGTATGTGTAAATCCCACTTCCTGTTTTTGTATGCCACATGAGGGCGTGGCTTAAAAACAAAGTTCCCATCTTTTGGGGGAGGCCACCACACCATACAGTTTTATATCTAGATAAAGAAAATTGCAAACTGCTCAAACATGTATTTTTTCCTCTCAGTCATTACTGCTGTGTAATTCTCCCCACTGCAGTATCTTTTAAACTCTGAAAAAAAGTTCACTGCATTTTTGCAGAGAAACGGAGGAGAAGATCTCATTTTTAGGCCTTGGCGAAACTTTCAAGGGCTTTTGTAAATCAACTTTAGAAGAGTGTCTTGCTTTTTTTTGCACAACTCGAAACTGAATATTTTGCCCGATCTGTGCTCTTAACAGATTTTATTTTGTATTTTACCCCAAAGTCGATGCGTTTTACTTTGTTACCATGTCACCTTTCCTGTCAGACTAATAAAATTTCCAATGAATTACTGCATAGTCCTACTAAAATATATCTGATGTCAATCTCAGTCAGACCTACGGAATCCCACGTGTAAAATGGCGTCTGTGTGATCATCCACTTTGACTATCAATGGGGACTAGCTTTAAACGCCACAAGCTTATACTACATGATTTTCTGTGGAATGGGATGTAAAATCTGATTTTTTGTGTTGCGACCCACAAATATGGCTCACGCTAGGTTTGATAAAGATTGTAGGTCAATTTCTGAATTTCCCCATATTTGGGACTGGGCAATTCTGTAACAAATAAGTGACTCTGGTTGAATGCTTTTGGTTGTTGTCCCTCGAGAAGATGAACTTCTTTCTCAATTTCCAGTTAATTTTTCTCAAGAATTTAAAGGTATTCAAGTAAAAGTGGTTCCCAATTATTAGTTAAAAAACAGTCATAAGTAATTTTATTTCCACTTTGAAAGTATCTTCAACTTTATGTCACATACAATAAACATTGTACAATGTTGGTACCTTGTGAATCTGGAGGAGCAAGAGCATTGTTCTGCGGAAGGTGGAAAGGGCTGGCTGGAGGCTGCAGAGTGATTGCTGGTGTGCTCAAAGGCTGCTGAGAAGAAGACTTTGCTTCATACAGGAAGACAGTAGCCTGCCTCTGGAGCACCTGTCCACAACAGAAGGGAGAAAAGATAATGAAGCACATACATATGGCTTTATATGTGTTGGCTCCTAAAAGGTTACCTGTATGGTGAGGCAGTAAGTCACCACCATGATGACCAGTGGGATGAAGAAGGCCACAAAAGAACCAATCAGCATGAAGCGCTCTTCGTTGAGGACGCAGCTGCCATTGACAAAGACCTTGTCCTCATTATGAAGACCAATCACTGGAATGGGCATTGAAACGCCTAAAAAAAAAAAAAAAAAAAAAAAAAAAAACAGGAATCAGATATTCTATTTGAAGATAAGATGTTGTTGCAAAATACTAGTTTCATCTACAGTTGAACATGGCCATGTAGGTATTGTTCAACAACAATCACACAAAGTTAAAGCAAGTTATAGCCTTGGGAATCCGGGATACCTCTGTGAAACAACGCATTGATTTTAGACACACTTGACTTTGAAACAAATGGATTTTTTTGTAAAGTGAAAGCATCATTAAAACGTCTTCTGTGGTTAGTCAGACAAAAAAAAAACACCCCACAAAATTCTGTTGCACATTATTTGCAAGCAAAAAAAAAGAAATATGAGTTTGCTGACGATTTGGTAAAAGGCATTGCCAATAATCTACCTAAATATATATATATATATATATATATATATATATATATATATATATATATATATATATATATATATATATGTATGTATATACACACACAAAAATAACAGGTAGAAAAGTCAGGCTAACATTATCTCCCCTGAAACCAACCCAGACACATTTATTACTTTATCCATTAGGCTGCAAAGTCTCTGTATTTCTTCTGGAAATGAAAGTAAATAATTATAACGCACAGCAGAATAACACATTAGGCAAGTAATGAGAGCTGTGTCTGAGATAAATCAACACGCTATTAGTGTTTTTAAAATCTATTAGCATTTAATGGATGTTTACGAAGGTGCATTTTTGCTCTCAGGGGGAACAAGCGAGAACAAGCCTTTGAAGGTACGGCAGGTTTGTTGACCTGTGATAATGACACTGACTAATGTGCCTCTTCTGATTTTAAAGGGTTTCTTTTTGTTCTTGTTGAAAGTGTCTGCTGGCCAGAGAAAAAAAAGGGACACAGTAGTGAGAAAGAAAAGCTTCTGTTTTATAGCTGCTGAAGGTAAGAACTACTCAGCAGGCAGATACAGTCCTTGATCTGAATCATGCTTGATGTGAGGGCCGATGAGTGCAAGGTACATTGTTTGCCTTGGCACCGTGCTGCCCCGGGCAGCATGAAAATGCCATATAAATTTGACAGTAACCTAAACTCAATCATTAAAATTACTTTACACACATGCATACTCAAAATCCTGGGTATGACCTGCATCAAGCAATCATTCATATCAGCCCTTTTTAAGGGGCATGTAAGGCCACTGGCCAAGGGAATTGCTTTAAAGCCAAATTTCAAATCTAGTCTCACCTTAGCCTCTACAGAACTCGTTTTATACTGCATAAAATTACAAGAAGATAACATAAAATCTAAAGCAGCTGCATAGCCTCAGGCCCTAGCTGAATTGATATAGTAATTTAGAAAATGCAACTCATAATAGAAAAGCGCATAATGGGCTACCTCTGGCTATTTCATAAGGCAGTTTACAATGTAACTTCTGACAGTTGCACTTCCTGCTGAGCGGTCTAATTTGTCCCTAAAAGCCAGCAGATTTCATTTTTTTTAGGTAATAGCAGCTTAATGCGAAAGCTGCAGCGACTCTGTTAATCCATAAAAGACACAATAAATATTAAGCTGACATGCTGGCTTTCTGGCTTCTCATGACATGGCTATCATAGGCTGCTGGAGTGTAGCAACAAATACAAATCTGCAGCATCAGCAGTGTGCAGGGGACCTAAAAAATAAACCCTCCCGCATACACATTAACCCATGAGTCTCTCAACTGCTGACATGAATACAGATTCTTTCAAATGATAAAGCAACAGTCATAAGTGTCATTTTTTTGGTTCTGGGTATGCACAGCTATCTCTTACAAGCTGAAGAGTTTCAAAAGTGTAAAACCTAAACATATAGTAAACACCGCTTTATAAATAAATGAATAAAGTTACTAAAGCTACAAGTTACTAAACTTGAGGCAGAAGACCTGAGATGTCTGGTGGGCTGACACACTGACAACTGGTCTGTGATGTATTCTGGTTCTAAATCATTCAATGATTTACAGAATTACAGAATTATCTACTGCAAGATATGGGGAGAAAGTTTAAAGGCAGGAGCATTCTGGGTAAACTGTAGCTGTTAGTTAAAACACCTATCATGGCTAAATTCCATAGAAATGTGAATCTCAGAATCTCACCAGCTGGTTAAACCACAAAGAACTTGTTGTTCCACAACCTCTTCCCTTTTTCTACCTTTTCAAGAAGACAATGAGACATTGATGCCTGCTGCTGACACTGCATGGAGCTGCTGCCTCCACCACAGGTGTTTTTCCCTTTACCCTCTTCTCTGTTTTAACAGGGGAGATCTGGACTTCCAAAAAAAGGAGATGACAGAAAATAATGGGTTCTCCTGATAAGAGTTGATGGACAATCAGCAGGGACTGTCTTGCCAAACTGTCATCGAAAACTGCTATTACAGTACCACCGCTATGCTGATGAAAGCCTGGATGAAACCCAACTGTTTTTTTTTCTGGCTATTCTGCCCAGCTGTTTTCAAACTTTTGAGATATATGTAACTGTGCTGTTCCTCCCAAGGGGTGCTGAAGCTTTTAGAGAATCTTTGAGAGAAACCCAACTTCTGCAGAGGTCACCCATTTTCCTGTCGAGTACCGGTTAAATTGAACCCCTGACCAGAGGGAACAATGAAAAGTATAGACTTCCCTTTTAGTCAAAATGCTGTATCTGAGCAGACCAATGTTAGAAGTAGGTATGATATTTAATCTTAATATAGCTTTGAATCACTAGCCTGATTGGACGTTTTTATTTCATTATGTGGATGATTTCTAAGTGGTTGACTACTGATCCTACTGTGTTTGAGGCTGGTTTTCCAAATTTTCCATTGCAACCTTTGTTTTGTGTGCTTATTTGAATTCAGTCGCTTGCTTCTTTTTTTGCTGTGAAGATTGGTTGTTTTGTTGAACTGTTCAGAACCGGCCAACCCAAAAAAAACCGACTTGTCTTTGAAGTAGGATTTAAAACAGTCCAGTGCCATACCAGAAATGTTGACCCAGTTTTCAAGGTGCTCTAATAAAATAGAGATATAAACAATGTTGAATGCTGCACTTAGGTCCAACTACAAACGCAACACCTTGGCAATTTCAGTCAGTCCCTGTGCTGTGGTGAGCACAGACGCCAGACTTAAAGATGCCGAAGCGGCTGGTCATCATTAGGAAAGTTTTGAACTGTTGAAACACAACTTATACAAAAATTTCACTGATGGACAGGTTTGAGATGGGCCTGTAGTTCTGCAGTAGTAGCTTGTCCAAGTTGCTTCATTTTCAACAGCAGCCTGACACCTGATAAAAGGGACATGTTCAATCAGATGTCATGAGGCAGAGGTTTCTTAATGGAGGATGTAGGGAAAACATACAGCAGTAGGGAGAGCTTAGTTGGTGTATAGCAGAGGTGGGCAACGTTGATCCATAAAAGCCACTGTCCTGCATCCTGCATTTCATTTCATAGTGTTGTCCTCTTATCTTTTGGGTTTTTTCAGTGAAGTAGTTAGCTAAATTGTTGGAAGTGCTGGTTGAGTTCAGATGCTACAGTCACAGGATTTTTATTAGCCTGTCGACCATGGAAAATAAGAAATGATTTTTTCACCTCAGGGACATAATATTCTCTTGAATTTTTCAGTTGTAAGTTATATCTATGAAGTCAACTGCTGTTTTATTTTTAATAAATAATGCCTATTTTTTAAGTTGTAAAAAATATTGCAAAAATCATAAAAGTTTAACAGAGGTGTACATAAAGGATACAAATTAAGGCAAACTTAAAAAACCTCCAGGTGTAACAGCATTTATTGCTACATCAGTGACTGCAGAGATCTTTTGCTAGATGTTTCATTGATAATAGTTCTGGAATCGATTCCTGGAAGACCTCTTAGACCTCAATCATAGCAGCAGGTAGAAGTGAGGAACCTTTGCCGGGGTCAAAGAAAAGGTGGGAGGAAAACATGGCTGGTCTGTGTTTTACAAAGGCATCGAGCTGTGAAGAACTCAGAAAAAAAGAAAGCAGACCTAGATATTATTTAACTGGATTTGTTTATGCTGCTAGTACTGATATCTCAGATCAGTAGAGTTTGGTTAGTTGGCTGTTAAATTTGTTGAAATAAAATGTTTTTGAGCATGTACTAAAATGTACAGATAAGGGACTTTAGCATGTATTATCCCACTGCTTACAGTTTAAACCAAGACGGCTGTGAGAATGTCTTTATTGTGTTTTACAGCAACGTTTTATAAGTTTGCTGATTTTACAGGGAACCATTAGGATCAGCAATGCTGCAAACATTAAAACCCAGCATTATCTTTTGTCAGACTCCTCTGATTTTGTTTTGCTTCTTTTTTTTAACAGTAAGGTAACTCCAACCTAATGAATTAAACAGTTTGTTGTTGAGATGTTGTCGGAAAATTTTGATTTCTCTTTTATTATATATCAATTTATCCTATTTACTCACTATAAAAGTTTTCACTCATTCTGTTTCACCTTGAAGGCCACACCATTCTCTGCAGGATGGTGTTTGTAGACCAGACATAGCTTCTTCCCATAAAAAAACAGATTCTTTTTCAAGGTTTATTCACAACATGTTACTGTTTAACCAAAGTGTCTGTAATTTGTTTTGACTCTGACTACTTTTCCATTGTTGTACAGTAAGTGAGGGGGAACGAACGCTGCTCATGCAGAACAGGGCAAAATGCTGTGCCATAAGGGCTGTATGATGAACTGTTCTCTCTTTGCAAAGATAAGAAAAAATGTGCCAACTGAGTGAAATCCATCAATCTCCGTTTATTTAACTAGGGTGAATAGTTGAATACTTTTTTCCCACGACACTGACCAGGAAATGTTGAGAATTTGTTTGTGTTTCAGGGGTTTGTTATCTAAAATTTAGAAAGATGCTCTATATTTTGCTGTAGTTTAGATTGAAAAACTAATTAAAAGTTACATTTTTGTTATTTTTTTTATCGCTTGGAAAAAAAACAGGGAAACTCTAAGGGAAACTTTTTTACTCTAATGATTTTACTGCATAAATAAATTCAACAA